CGTTGAGTTTGAGGAAATTAGAGGTGAACCATGATTTGATTTCAGAGAGGCAGAGTGTAAGGGAGGATGGTGGGAGAGTTGAGTTGGGCTTACTGGAAATGTAGAGCTGGGTGTCATCCGCAAAGCAGTGAAACTGGATATTGAATTTGCGGAAGATTTTGCCGATAGGGAGGAGATATACTATGAAGAGGAGGGGCCCCAGGACAGAGCCCTGGGGCACACCTGACTTGACTGGGGAGGGTTCTGAGGTAAAGGATTTTAACTGGATGAACTGAGTGCGGCCAGTAAGGTAAGATTGAAACCAGCGGAGGGGGGTGTGAGTGATGCCTAAGGAAGAGAGTCTATTAAGGAGGATGGGATGAGAAATGGTGTCAAAGGCCGCACTCAGATAGAGGAGAACGAGAATAGAGATTAAACCAGAATCAGCAGCAATGAGTAGGTCGTTAGTGATCTTGATGAGAGCTGTTTCTGTGCTGTGGTGGGGACGAAAGCCAGACTGAAACTGTTCATAAAGGTTATTGCGGGTGAGATGGGAATGGAGCTGAGATGCAACAGTTTTCTCTAGGACTTTGGAAATGAAGGGAAGATGGGAAATGGGAAAGAGGTTATTGAAATCATTGGGATCTAAACCAGGTTTTTTTAGAATAGGGCTGACTGAAGCGGATTTGAATAGGGAGGGGACCGTACCAGAGGATCGTGAGGAATGAATAATGGCTGTTATAAAAGGGAGCAGAGAAGAAAGGCACAATTTAACTAAAACTGTTGGAATAGGGTCAAGTTGACAGGTGGAAGGTTTGGATTTGGTGATGTAATCTATTATTTCTGAGGGATGGGGAAGTTCAAAGGAGGAGAACTGAATGGAGGGTTCAAATAAATCAGGAGAGGGAGGGGAGGAATGAGGTAAAGAGGGATGGATTCTATTGACCTTATCATTAAAAAACTGAAGGAGAGAGTTACAGGTTTCTGAAGAGTAAAGATGGATGGGTAAGGAGTCGGGAGGCTGAAAAATGCTGTTCATGATGGAAAATAATGCCTTAGCAGGAGTTGGACGAGATGAGACCGGAGTAATACTGAGATTTGGCATGGGAGATGGAGTCCTTGTAGAGAGAAATCTGAGCAGAATATAAGTCTTTATGGATGGTGAGACCGGTTTTCTTGTAGAGTCTTTCAAGCCTCCGGTTGGTAGCTTTCAAGGAGCGTAGGGCAGGGGTGAACCATGGAGCAGACCGAGCAAAATATACAGAGCGGGATTTGATGGGAGCAAATGAATTAAGGATAGAAACCAAACCGTTATTGTACTGAATGACAAGATAATCGGGAGTAGAGGACAAATTAGGGGTCAGGGTGGCAAAACTGGAGGACAGGGAGGCTAGATCAATGTCCTTAATATTACGAAAAGAAATGATACGTGGTGACTTGATGATGGAGAGACGGAGGGGAACAGAAAAGAAGATGAGGAAGTGGTCCGTGAAAGGGAGCGGGTCAGCTGTACAGTTGGAGGGGGTCAGGCCGGAGCAGCAGATTAAATCCAGGGTGTGACCTTTAATGTGAGTGGGAAAATTGGCATATTGATGAAAACTGAGGCTGTCCAAAGATGAGGAGAAGTCTTTGCTGAGTGGGAGGGCCATATTGTCCATATGAATATTAAAATTACCAAGTAAAATTACATTTGGGGAAAGGGCGGACAGATGGGATAAAAGAGCAGAGAGTTCATTTAAAAACTCAGGGCTGAACTTGGGGGGGACGATAAACAGTGACAATTATTGTGGTGGTCGGGCCGGAGAGTTGACAGGCGAGGCATTCCAGAGTGGTGAGAGGAGGAAGGCTTACGGGAAGGACCTTCCAAGTCTCGCACCACCGCCGCGGCCTGACCCACGTGGTTTGGAGAGGTAAACAAATCCAGGAGGAGTACAGTCATTGAGTTATGAGAAATCGCTGGGTTGTTGCCATGTTTCGTTCAGACAAAGAAAGTCTAGCTTATGGTCACTGATGGTATCTTGGAGGAGATGTCCTTTACCAGAGAGGGAGCGAATGTTGAGAAGACCAAAATTTGCAGTGCGGAAGTCCCTGGCGACAGGAGAATTAGCCCGACTAGCCAGCCGGGCTAACACGCTGGAGTCAGCAGCTCGGCAGGTATTCCTGGGTAGCCGCCGGCTAGTCGTGGACCAGAAGGAGGGTATTCCTTTGGAGCCGTCGAGATGGAGGTTCCGCCGGGACCCCTGATGGATATACCGACTGCGAGGCTGGAAGGTGATGTCGGGGAAGAGGCACAGAGCTGGTGGTGGAGATCCGGAGTAGTGAAAGCGGAGGTTGAAGAGCTCCGCCGCCGAGTACTGGAGAAGGCCATCCACGGACAGAAGAATGAGCGACAGAATGATCCAGGCCAGTGAGAGGCACAGAGAAATCCTGCTGGACCACATTATGGAGTGGAGCAGGGAGGTGGTGACGTGGAACCAGAACGCAAGCTGAGCAGGTAGGTGAAAATGAGTTTTCACCGACACAGGGATATGACTCGGGTGAAAAAGAAGAAAAAAAAAACACAAAAAGTTTGTTTGCCGGTGAGCAGCGGCAGCGAGACGCGCCAGCGTTCACTCAACCGGAACCGGATGAAGAGGGGATTACATGAGGAGAGTTCGGGGAGGGAGAAAAAGGCATTAACAGAGTTACGCCAGCAGGGTGTAGCTCTACTATGCAAAAAAACACCTCAACATATAAGCACAAACGTCACAGTTCACAACATGAGACCCTGTAGGTGGGGGGGACCCTGGTTTCCTCAGCGGGAGCAGCCTGTGTGGCGCTCGGCCAACTGAATCCACAGGTGGGTGGGAGGTCATGGGAAAGCAAAGAGCACAGTGACTGCCTCCTTCTTGATGACCTCGATGCAGAGACCACAATCTGAAGGAGGGGGGGGGGGGGGGGGGGGGGTAGGTAGGGTTTTCACAGCATTTGTCTGCATTCCTTCCATCGTGGGTTTTTTTGCATGCAACTCCAAGGCTGCTTATGGCGTCACATTGGATAACAGGACTTTGTTTGGGTCAGGCAGAGATAATTTTCCTCTCTGCCTCAAAGTCTATATTGATCATTCAAGTCCTCCAGTGAAGCCAATTCGGTGATTAAACATCTCCACACCGTCCGGTGACCCTCTCCGAGATGACATCCATCTTGCTCACTAACACCGGTAATGCAGCTAAGACATTGTCCAGCTTGCGATTCACCTCGAGTAACGTCCCAGTCTGTGAGGTCTCCACCCGGACGGTGCCGTCCATGGGTGTGGGTCGTCCTCCAATCGCTCCCGTCATCCCAATTTTTCGGAAAACCAGATATCCTCCCACTCCAATCAGAAGAAATCCAGTGACCGCCCTTTGACTTAGTTCTCGGATCGCCCCTTTGGTATTTATATAATTATTCTTGGTTCTTTAATCCCCATCCCCTTCTGGGTTGGCGTTAGGGTTGTCACGGTAACCGGTATAGCGGTAAACCCCGGTAAAAAAGTTGACAATAAAAGTAACCGTCCAGTTTTTAAAAAACTAAATTATCTCGGTGGGTTTACCGTGGCCGCGGTTTCGGCGCGGTGACCCTTACCAGCCACCGTCGCTTCAGCTGAAGTTCCCGCGGCGCGCACACGCACTTTTTAGTTTGCAACGGCACCAAAACTTTGAAGCTGAAATAATGGCCGAAGGAGGACTAAATCGGAAGTATGGGCATATTTTGGATTTCAGAAAAATGCTGAGGCACATTTAATAGAAGACGGCTATCCCGTTTGCAGAACGTGCAGGAAACAAGTGTCTGCAAAAGGCAGCAACACTTCGAATCTAATGGCACATCTGCGTGACCATCACCCACGTCTCTACAGCCAGTGCAAGGTACGTTAACATTAGCATTTTAGCTTAAATGCATGACGTGAGGACTTTTGGTTCAGGGAGAATGCAACGAGTCACTATATACTGCAGCCGCAGCGTCCTCTGCCAGCATTTAAACCGTGTCACGGACACCCTGTTGCTGGATGAAGCATCTTATTTGTTGATGATGAAGAGAAATATACAATTAGTTCATTGTCATTGATTTGTTTACTTATTCAATGCCATTTATACTTGAACATTTGGATTTGATTACATAGTGTAGTAGTTATTTTAGTAATTTGTTTAATGTGGCTATTTATTTTAAATACATATTTTTTAAGGTTGACTTGTACAGTGCTCAAGTCAAGTGTGGACTGGAGTTTTAGATTTTCATTTTGATAATGAAGAAAACAAGTATATGAGACAACAAGTGGTGTTTCTTTGATTTGTTTACATATTGTTTATGTTTTGAATGTTTGGATTTGTATAATTTAAACCTGCACTGACTACTGTAGCATGTTCCAGAAAAATAAGCTATGTGTTCCTTTACTTGTGAAAAGTTGCACTTTTGCTAAGGCTTTGTGTTATATTAGGTTTAATAAACACTGTTAAACCTTTTCAAAACTATTTCAGTTTGTGTAGAACAGGACTATCAATGCTTTCTGAACATTTGCAACACCGTTTAAAAAATACCGCGATAATACCGAAAACCGTGATAATTTTGGTCACAATAACCGTGAGGTTAAATTTTCATACCGTGACAACCCTAGTTGGCGTTTTCCGTTCTTTCCTTTTGTAAATAACTCTCTTTGTGTTTGTGTATATAACTCTTTGTGTTTTTGTAATTAATCCTTTGTTTTTTTAAGCGACACAGCACTCTGTTTATTACTCAACCCACACACCAATTTTATTACTCCTCTCCTCATCTCTCCTAGAGAGCCGGGGACGAAATAGGTTCTCAGCTTAGAAAGAGAAGTATAGATGGCCTGTCCATACTTCACTTAACATGCGGTGAACTTCATGGGATCTTGAGAAGAGATCTTGAGAACTGAACTTAAGATGGCATTGGAACTGTTTTATTAATCAGGATGTTTTTGATTCTGGACAAATCAAAGCTGACAGATTTAATAAACACCACAGAGACTCTGCCATGCTTCAGACTAACCTTGGAGGAATAGCTCCTTTATCACGTTACAGGGTCATGTAGTAACGTTGTTAATGGTGTTTTGTTTTGTTCTTCTATAAGGAAGAGTCAGAGAAGGAGCTATCCCTGAAGGAGAGGGCGTTCCGTGCAGTGGCCCCCCACTTTGGGGGTCAAGGTAGAGCCTCCAGGAGAGGGAGTTCCGGGCAGTGGCCCCTCACTTTGGGGGTCAAGGTAGATCCTCCAGGCTCAGGGCAATTTCCTTCGGCCCCGCCATTGGTAAGAAAGAATACATGGTGTATTTGCAGGTGTGTGGAATGTTTTCTTGCTACATTCATCTTGTCCTGCATCTTTGCAGACTCGTACTTGGAGGACTATGCAGCATATGTGTTTTGTGAAGAGGGCACCACAAAAATGCAAGAAAATGCTGTGACCAAGGTCAGCAGAGCAAAGCTCTTCATAAAATACATGATGCACGGCTGCGAGACAGGCCCGTTTTGGAGCTACGAGTTCCTATGTTAAAGTGGTAAGTGCTGAATTAAGAAATGGTTTACCTTGCTGACTTATATCTGCGCTCTACAATATGTCTCTTTTATTTTTGTTCTTTACACAGTTACCCAGCAGCGTTGAGGAGAGTTGGCATGGCCCCCACCACACTATCTCTGTACATGGGACATCATATAAGAAAACTTCATGTCGCCCAACTCAAAATGACCAGCTTTTAACGAGCAGTTAACCTGGGCCACCGTACCGGAGTCCTCACACGAATGAAGGTCAAGGAGGTGAGGGAGGCCATAGGCAATGATGAGAAGGGCTATCTCATCAATGTAACTATCACAGAAATGTTTTTGATTCTTCTCCATTAAAAATACAGATCTCTTTAGGTTGTGTGTATTTTACAGATATTTTCAGCATTGGAAAAACAGGTTTTATACCATTGACTGACCCAACGGATTTCTGTCACACTTTGTGTTCTGCAGGTCATGGAGCACAAGACGGTCAGGAAGTTTGGCATGGCCCAGATCTACCTAACCCTTCTTTCCCGATCGAGAACCACGATATGTGGACAAACAATTCTGAATCGTAAAAGAAGCATGCTATAATCGATTATACTGGACTGTCTTAACTCCACTGTACTGAGTTGTTTTGAGTTAGCAGGGTTCCTATGGGCTTCATCAAGTTAAAGACTTTTTAAGACCCCCTGGGAACCCTGGTCAGGTAAGGCCGTTGGAAAAGGCCTGTTAGCTTCTCATCTACCACCACACACCACATTCCATTGTGCAACATTCAATTGTTCATCTAAACGAAAAACATCATAGATCAGACTGTGTAGGAGAGGACAGATTATGCAAGTTGTTTATACTCACGCTCCTAATTTCTCTGTGTTCATCAGAAACCTCAAGTCAATGGAGATGGATGATGATGGTAAGCCAGCAGCCATGTAGCAGCAAAATCTTGAGGAATGGCTTGCTGCTTGTTTTGCTTCCTCTTGGTCCTTTCTCCGTTCGAGAATCCAGGCGGAAACTCTGGTAATCTTCTATAAGTTTTTCTGCAAAAAAGAAAAAGTTTAACAGTCATTGCACAACTTCACTATCTGTCCATCAGCTATAGAGGTGGAGAAGTTTGGTTCGGCACGGCCCAGATCTACCTGGATGCCGAGGAATACGGCTGGTGCCGCACCTGGCTCTGGTTGCGTTCCAGGTCGGTGGAGAGGAATAGTTTCTTCTTCTCTGCTCTGGGCTGTGGAGAGGCCACGGACATTGGCCGCTACTTCCGCAGCGCATGGAGTTAGATGGGCCTGAAGGGAGAGCCGTCCATCAAGGACATCCGGACTGCTGTGTCCACTTATGTGGGTATCAAAAACACTAAACCAGTGTGTGTCTTTGTATAGTGACGCAAGTCTAATTTTCTTTTTTTCTAGAACTTTGAGAAGAATGACCAGGAGGTGCGCAAGAACCTCTCCTCGTTCATGTGCCACAGCATAGAGACGCAGGAGAGGTTCTACGCCCTCCACAAAAATGTGAAGAGGGCAAAGACCATGAGAGACCTATTCGTCTGCCTCTCGGTGGACACACAGTCTGGCACCGATCAGGCTACCCCTGCTGCTGCCTCCAATGCCGCTGCATCCGACGCTGCTGCCTCTGATTCTGTACAGAAACAGCTGGAGGGGACAACCCAAGTAAGTTTAAATCATGTGATTGCTATCACACCATATAACACATTCACAACAAAACATCTAGTGCTTGATAATTATTCATTATCCAAAGTGTTTTTAATTTTGCCCCCCCCCCCCCCCCCCCCAAATTAAAGGAGCAAGAAATATTAGGCATATAACAAATACCTTATTGGAATCAGTTAAGCTTTTAACGAGCAGCTAGCCTGGACCAGCTCAAAAAACCCTCTTATAAGGAAATGTTTATCTTAATCAACTCATACCAGCTTTTAAATAAAAGCTCTTTTGGAACAGGTCTCGGTGACCAGCTTATGAACAGCTTTTAAAGAAAAGAGCAGCTGGGATGTCCTTCGTCTTTTCTGGTGGCATCTTTAACCATCTCTGCTGAAATGTCTGGAAGTTCCTCAACTTGGGCGCCTATAACCATCTCTGCTGGAGTGTCTGGATGTGGCTCAGCTGGGTTGTCTTTTGGAGCACCCTGAGGAATTTTTCTTGCATATGGAGAGGTGGATTTTTTTTTATCTAGCTTTTCCTAGTGATGGAAGGCTGCTTTTTGTATTAAACTGTCATCATAAAGAGGTTCCTCACATTCCGAGCTTGTACCGTCTGTCCCACTCAATAAAACTTCCTGATCAACACAGAGTTTAGCGCTCTCTGAATTGTCAACTGCCATCTCAAGTGCTTTAAACCTGAGGTTTCTGCTTTCGATGCCTGTTTCCTTGTCTGGGAGAGCCACGTAGAACTTCTGCGCAGTGCTGGGATTATGGGATTACTAACTTGCTTTTGTAAATCCTTACTTTGGTTAAATAAATCAGTTGTTGAACTCCCACTCCTCTGTTTGGTCTCCTTTCTTATTACAGCCCACCACTTCCAGTCTGGGTTGTAACAATCTGCAGACAGATTTCTGAGTATCTCCTCATTTGGTATACAGATCCTCACTGAGCCAAGTACTTGAACAAATTGTTTCTCCATGATATTATCCAGCAAGGTCCCGTTTTTGTCAAAACAAGGGTGAGGTAATGAAAAAATAGAAATATTTCATTAAATTAACATTTAAATTATTTATATGCATGATTAAAATAAAAAAACATGTTTTGAAATATATAAAGTGCACCAAACTTGACTCAGTCCATTCAACAATTCTAAATGGACAAGTATGTAACTCATCAGTTAATTATTTGAAAGGATAATTTGTCAATGAAATGCTGAAAAAAATAAACAATACATTAATGAGGCAAGAACTTTTTAAACTTGAACATACCTACACCCACAAGTCTATTTTTACCTGGAGTCTCCTCTCAAGAGTGGCTGAAGTAATATTACAACTTTGACAGAATACAAATTCTCTCTCTCTCTCTCTCTCTCTGGAAGCCCCACTATAAGGGCCTTTACAGTGTATTATTGAGTCATATATTGTACAACCACAGTCATAAAGTTTTCAATCAGTAGATTTATTTCAGTATGTATTTTTCCAGTATCACAAAAAATATAATTTTATATGGTTAAAACCATCTAGCTTATGTGCACTTTTTAAAACACTGCCCAGCAAACATTCGGACGTTTAATGACAGTTGAACGGTCACAACTGTAAAATAATATCACAGGAATTAGGAAAAAATAGCATAACACCTACAGTATTTTCCTTGCCCGGACTCGAACCTGGATCCTGTGGGGGGAGAGTCACCCGCTCTACCAGCTGAGCTATGACAACAACTACTGAATATCAGATGTTTTTATATGGCTCCCATCATTTTGGTCCGACAGGAAGCCAATGGGCCGATGAGGTAGAGGGTAAACTGCGGGCAAAACTAACCAATCAGAGGACAGAGAAGATCTGCCACAGGCCACGCCTCCAGAGTGCCAAAATCCCTTAACAGCCGAGCGAGCAGAGTCAGAAACCGAGCGCGCAGAGAGGCTGCCGCGCGCACACGTTTTCCTCTGCCGTGTGCTCGTTGGCAACGCGCGCACGCAGGTTTGTCACTTGTGCACATCCTTGTGCGCTCACAGACACAGTTTGCTCCTTCTCAGTGCACAAATGACCTCTCGCCATGTATATTTTCACTCGCGAGTCCCGTTCACACACGCAATGTGGCAGATTCCGCGTGCACGGGTTTTGGCACGGGTCTAACCCCATATGTTTGGACCCAAAATGCAGATACCCAGGATGACACGAGGCAGGAGTTGATATAAAGAAAATCCTTTTTTTTTTTTTTAGGATGAGTCCAAAATAAAAATAAATCCAAAAAGGCAGGGAGCCAAAAACCAAAGACCCAGGAACAGGAGAAAAAAAGCTCACTTAGAGCACAGACTGGGAACAAGACCAGAAACTTACACAGAACACCAAAACACCACTGACAAACAACAATGGACCAACAAGACACGGAGACAAGACAGGGCTTAAATACACTAGGGCATAATGGGAGGCAGATGAGCTGCAGGTGTGTGGAGTGTGGGGGGAGGACCAGGTGAAAGCAATGACTAATCAGGGAAGAAACTAACATGACCTAAGAGTGAACCTAAAAACAGAAAAGCAACCATATGACTAAAATTCTAAAGGGAAGGAGAACTGCAAAAAACGGTGGGACATAACATATTAAAGAGACTAATAAAAATGAAAAGCTGAAACTATAAACACTGCAGAGGGATGATTGGCTGCAGAGGGGTGACTGGAGAAGAATAAAGGAACACAGGAGACGCATAAATGAGATGCAGACAAAGGACACATGAGGGCGCTACGAAACACAAAAGGAGAACCTGGAGTGGGAACAGGAGGGGCTGGGGAGCAAAGGGACACAGAACATGACAGTACCCCACCACACAAGGGCGGATACCAGACGCACAAAACCAGAACAAGACAAAACCACAAACAAAAGACAAAGACAAAACAGGACACGAGAGACCACAGGGCAGGAGAGGAGGGACCAAACAAAAAACAACCCACAAGGGCGGGCGAGGAGGGACCAGGGGACTCTGGGGGGCCGGCAACGGGGAACCAGGAGGCAGGACCATGAAAGTCTTGGGGGACGGCGACGGGGAACCAGGAGGCGGGACCATGAAAGTCTTGGGGGACGGTGACGAGGAACCAGGAGGCGGGACCGTGAAAGTCTTGGGGGACGGCGACGGGGAACCAGGAGGCGGGACCATGAAAGTCCTAGGGGACGGCGACGGGGAACCCGGAGGCGGGACCATCACAATCTTGGGGGATGGCGACGGGGAACCAGGAGGCAGGACCATGAAAGGCTTGGGCTTTTCTTATCCGCTCTCAGAGAGTACAGACGCTTTTTCTTCAGCTCCCTTATCTGCTTTTCCCAAGGCTCTCTGTCCTGTCTGCCTACAGAACACTTCTCTGCATTTCTCCTGAAAATCACCACTTCTTTTTGGAAAATGGACTTAATTAACTGGCCATTCAACGCGACTGATAAGATTTTTTCTACGATGAGAACGGAGAAGGGGGCTCCCACCTGTCCTCAGGGGACATACGCAGCGGCATATGCACTCGATTCTTTGGAGGTCTGGCGAATCGTGTGCCTCTCTCAGTTGTCCATCGAGGATGTGGAAGATTTGTGTATATTCGGCCTGATGATCACTGGATTTCTTCTGATTGGAGTGGGTGAATATCTGGTTTTCTGGAAATTTGGGAAGACGGGAGCGATTGGAGTGCGACCCGTACCCACGGAATGTGCCACCCATGCGGTGACCTCACAGACTGGGACGTTACTCGAGGTGAACAGTAAGCTGGACAATGTCCTCTCGGCGTTGCCTGTGTTAGTGCGCAAGATGGATCTCATCTCGGAGAGGGCCGCCAGACGGTGTGGGGATGTTTAGAACGTATAATTGGCTTCACTGGTGGACATGAATGATCACTTAATAGACTCCAAGGCAGAGAGGAAAATTATCTCTGTCTGCCCTAAACAAAGTCTTGTTTATCCTAATCTGACGCCAAGGCAGCCTCTAAAGCTGCCATCAACAAACCCCCACGAAAGGAGGAATGTAGACAGATGCTGTGACCTGACCTTCCCCCCCGCCTTCAGATTGGGACTTCTGCTTCGAGGTCATCAACCTGCAGGAAACTCAATGTGCTCTCTGGCCCTCCTTTCTCCCTCCCACCTGTTTGACTGCAGCTGTGAGCGCAGTACACTGGCAGCTCCCGTTGGAGGATTCAGGATCCCCCCCCCGCCTCCCTATCGGAGTCTGATGTTGTAACTGTGATGTTCGTGCTTCTATGTATGTTGAGGAGTTTTTTGTATAGTAGAGCTGGGACTAACTCTGGTATGCCTTTTTTACCTTACCCCAATTATCCTCATGTAACACCCTTTTCATCTAATGAAATGAGCGCCGTTCTGGCTGCTCTCGTGGACTGCCTGTACCTGTTTTGTCTACATGTGTGTGTGTTTAACCTTGGTCAGGTTGTGTTTGCGGAGTCAAGTTCCTATGCTCTGGGTCGCTGGAGCGCTGGCAATAAAGCTTATTCTGATTCTGATTCTGATTGGGGGACGGCGACGGGGAGTCAGGAGCCGGGAACAGGAAAGTCTTGGGATCGGAGGCTTTGGAGAAGGAGGACAAGGAAGGATCTCTGGAGACAGGGACTGAGACTGGAACACTGGGGACTTGAGAGACTGGAACACTTGGGACTCGAGCACCGATACTGGACAATTTGTTTCCATAGGCTCCAATAACAAGTTTTTGGTCTAAAATGGGAGGTGGCCACCACCGCCATTTTGACCGTGTCACAGGTTCCATCCAGCCCAGACAATTCCATAAAAGGGAAGAGAGGAGGAGCTGAGTGTGGGGCTGTAAGGCTGGGATCAACTGACGACACCCGGTCGAACTACCTACAAGCTAACCTGAAGCTAACCCTGGCTAACCCAAAGCTAACGCGGAGGTGGGAGCCGAGCTAACGGATGTAACCACCTAGCTTCAACCCAACCGGAGCTAACTGTGGAACACCGATCGACCTAAACCTCACACGAAGTTTAGGTGGAGGTTTTCGGCGCTTTTTCGTGAAAAGTACCTTGATTAAAAAAGTATTAAATTGGTAAGTTTATAATTTATTTCCGTAATGAAAACATATTTTGCTTTGAGCAAGTTTTCAGTAACGTATTCTCCGGGCTATAAGTCACTCCTGAGTCGCACCAGCCATTAAATGTATAATGAAGAAGAAAAACTATATTTAAGTCGTATTTTGGGGGGATATTTTATTATTTTTCTTACAAAATCTGAGACCAAGCATTTCACATTGCAAGACAAGCACTGGTAACCATAACAGAACGAACAACGCGGGCGCAGCAGCGCGCCATGGTCTCCAGCAGAGGAGAGGATGGCGGTGTTTCAAACCCTCCCGGCGGGCGAGGAGAGCTCATTCCTGGGCTGGAGCCGGCCCTCAGCACTTTGCCACAGGCTCCAGCAGATGCTGG